TGCATGTTATATAATTATATATATATATTATATAATGTATATTCTTTTGAGTTAGGAAAATACAAAGACTATGCTTTCATCCTTATAAGCCTGTTTTGTGATTACCATCACTCAAACAAAACATCCCCTGATATAATAATAATTAATAATAATTCAATATTTATATTGCACAAATTAACATGTGGATATGATCAAATGCACATCACAACACTTTTGAGGGACTTTGGCTGGACTGCATCAGCAGTTTACAAACAATCCAAGGAAACTTATTATTTGAAGATGCCCCCTCCCCCCAATTCCCAGTAAACAGGCCAGACCACGTCACAGTAATCTCGTGAGTGGGTTCTTTAACGTCCCCTGCCTAACTAAATTAACTAATTAATAGATACAGGAGACGGGACCTATGGTTTATTCGTCCTTATCCGAGAATACTAGAATGTCTATCCATTTCTTGACATTATAGAAAGGTAGCGCATTCTCCTCAGTTATTTTAAGACCTTGAGTGTTGGTCTGGCCGGGGCTCGAACCATCGACCCCGACCTCCCGCACAACAGTCCAGCGCTCTAACCAATTGAGCTAACCGGGAGGCGGATGATGAGTGAGTAACCATGAAACAGGCTTGAAGGGATGAAAGTGTAGTCTTTGTATTTTCCCAACTCAACATATATTGCACTCGACTACTTTTATGTATCGAGCACTGTAACATGGAAAATCGAAACGCAGACTTCTTATTACATATTATTTATTCTCTATATTATTTTCATAGTGAATTCCCTTTGTAATTGATCTGAACATTTTTCATCAGTAAAAATTCTTGCTCACAATAAAAGAATGTATATCTTAGCTACCTCCCTTTTTCACAATTTTCTAAGGGAGCATGTCCCCATAACTCCCCCCCCCTCTCTTCAGGAGGGAGGTGATGCCCGCTAGTGCATTGCAGTTGAAGGCTATGGCCGGGAATCTCACTGTTAGTGATAAAACACAGCTCAGCATGTGCTTCAGGCATCACAAGATTTAAGTTGTTGTCAGTTTGGGGAAAGGAATGGAGATATCAGTACAACTTTTGTGATTTGTCATTATCACTATCTGGTCATTTCAATCTCAAATCTGAGTGATTTGTCACTAATCCTGAGTACTCTTTTTGATACCCATAATGCTTCAACTAGCCACCAGGCATTCTGCAAAACTAGTGGTTTTGTGTGTTCCTTGAAGTGTTGAAAGGCTGATAGTTTCGAAAGAAACTGTTTGGGGCTGCTTCGGTGGGAGTAATGAAATAATTTCGATATATCGACAAAGTTGAAATGGTAGTGTTAGGCTGCTCAGCCGCTCAGCTCAGCTCATGTTTGCCAAGAATCTCCAGCACAGTATGATTGGACAGAGTTTGATCTGCCCTTTTTCTTAGGCTTCTATCTGCTCTCAACTCCAAAGTGATAACATGCAGTCCATTTTCTTTGTCCCATTGATGGTTCTTCTTTAATTTTCTTTTGTGTTTTGTTTACAGAATTGTAGAAAGGGGTTATTACTCTGAAAAAGATGCAGCCGATGCAGTCAGACAGATATGCGACGCTTTAGCTGTAAGTACATTAAAGTATGTGACTATTTTATAGTTGTTCCTAAATTGAGTGTCATAAGAAATCTGGAATTGCAGTTTGATATGAAACTATTTCAAGCATAAAATTAATCTGTGACTATTGCGGAAAAATAGGTACAGTCAAACCTCGATTACCCGGACCTCGATTATCCGGACTTTTCGATTATCTGGACTTTTTCTCTGGTCACATTTTTTTCATGATTATTAATGAGCTTTGATCTTCCAAACTTTATGAGGTAAAAAAATTCAGAGATTATGTCTAAATTCAGGAAAAGTGCATTTAAAACAGCGCATTACCTCCTCCACTTTCAAAAGATCAAGCACTCGGAGAGTCATCGAAGCAGACTTTTAGAATTTAAAGTGTGTTCTCTTTAGTTTATTTCTTTTGTTTATATTATTGTCTCATTAATATTCATATTTTCAATTATCTGGACTCTCGATCATCAGGACTGATTAGCTAAGTCCCAACAGGTCCAGATAATGGAGGTTTGACTGTACCGGTGATTTTAATGCTAGGGGTAACCCTGTGATGGACTAGCATTCCATCCGGGGGGGGGGGGGGGAGTAGAAATGCTCCTAGTAACTTTATGCTACGGAAACCGGATTTAAGTGTTGGCCTGATGGGCCACCTGGCTTGTAAACAGGCTTCACCACATTTTTACAAAATTTTTGATTTGTTACTGAACAGATGCATGGCAACATGAAATCTATTTTAACATACATCTCCTGATAAATATTCCAGACAAGAATTTTGATTTTTCTTTTGTGTGCATTGTGTTTCAGTATATTCATAAACACAAAATCATTCACAGAGATCTTAAGGTATTGAAAGGATTAAAACCTTCATGTGTCTTTTATTAATCTATTGTATTCTACTGTAAATTGTTTGAGAAATGTACTTTAAAAAAAAGCATACAACTTTTTGTTTATGTACACTGATGTTGTTATATTCTGGTAAATTTGTTAGTTATTTACCTTAAAGACTCACAGACCCAAACACTCTCATATGCTTCATTGTTCTATAGCAAATGCTTATTGGTTACATTTACTTCTTTTTGTGTTAAGCCAGAAAATCTCTTGTACGCTAATAAAAAGGAAGACTCAGCCTTAAAAATTGCAGATTTTGGGTTGTCAAAGATGCTTTATGGTGAGCAGTGCAATACAGCAACAGTGTGTGGAACCCCTGGATACTGTGGTTAGTAAACATGCCAATCTTGAGACTGTTTGATCTTTGTTATTAATTGTTAGGTATGCTTCCTGAAGAAGAATATTATAATATTCTTATCCAAACTGATTCAAATTGTTCAACACTTAATTTCGTTGTTTTCCTTCCACCCAACTTTGTGGTCAAATCATATTTCTTTATTGGTCATACAAGTTACTCCCTAGATGGAGTGTATTAATATATCACATTCAAGATGAAGTTGAGCCTAAGTTATTGTTGAGAATCAACAAATGTTAGGATTTTGTTATCTGCTAACATGTAGCTGCAATAATCAATGCCTCTATAATTCTTACAAAAAATTATCCTGCAACGACCAAATCCAGTTATTGTCCAATTTGTGCTCACTGAAAATCTTTTGAGTTTAGATAAGTAAAGATATGATGCAATGTAACTGTGCTAGCAATGATAATGTGTAACCAATCAGAATTGTATGTATATATTGCATGTATGTAATTTTTTTATAGTTGTGATCAGGTCTTGTATTCCTTGCAAATATCTGCCATACCTACAAATGTTGATTTGTAGCAATTTACATTATAATTAATGTTTATGTCTCAATGTTCCTTAGCTCCTGAAGTTCTCAAGGGCAATCCATATGATACTAAAGTTGACATGTGGGCTGTTGGTGTTATTGCTTATATACTGTGAGTGATGTGCAATCTTTTTCAAATTGTTACTAGCAATTCTGTTTTAAACTGCTATGGGCGATGCAAAGCGATTAGCAGATGACATATAGTAGATCCATTCAGTAAGAAAAAAACAAAAAATATATATTAAATAACAGTTAAACAGGCAGATATTGAAGGCGCAGTAGCCTCATGGCTAGTGCGCTTGACTGCGGATCAAGCAGTCCAGGTTTGAGCCCTGGCAGGGGACGTTGTGTTGTGTTCTTAGACAAGACACTTTACTCTCACAGTGCCTCTCTTCACCTAGGAGTTAATGAGTAACAGCAAATTTAATGCTGGGGGGTAACCCTTCAATGGACTAGCATCCCATCCAGGGGGGAGTAGAAATACTCTTAGTCGCTTTATGCTATGGAAGCTGGATTTAAACACTGCACCAATGGGCCACCTGGCTTGTAAGCAGGCTTTACCTACCAAACAGGCAGATAAGAGTACTCCTTTTGTGAAGGTGTAGTCTGATCGTCTGGGTGAGTGTAGTCCTGAGAAGGACTGTTGTCGGTGGTAGTGACTGACGTTTCGACAACCTGTGCGGAAGTCATCATCAGAGTCAAGTGAATGATTGTTGTCAGTAGAACTGACAACAATCAGTTGTTGTCAGTGAATGATTGTTGACAACAATCGTCTACTGACAACAATCATTCACTTGACTCTGATGATGACTTCCGCACAGGTTGTCGAAACGTCAGTCACTACCACCGACAACAGTCCTTCTCAGGACTACACTCACCGGGACGATCAGACTACACCTTCACATGTTACCCCCGGGTTCAAACCATTTACTGCAGTACTCCTTTTGCATATAATTCAAAGGTAGAATGCAAGGAGTAATTCATGATTGAATCTTAGCTTTATTATGTACCTGTCTTTCATCTATGCTATTACTGCTTGGCTGCTGAGGGTCTGGGTAGGAGAGTTATTTAGGCTGTATTTAGGCAGCACATTCTTTAAGTTTGCCCACATATGTAACCCAAGTGAGATGTTGGAGTTTGTAAATTACACTTATGAGTCATTTGTGGTTGGCAAACTGTCCTAGTGTTCTACCAACATCCCAAGTAGTGTATTTAGTTGGTTATGATTGACCCATAGAGAGTGTGGCAGGTTGCTTTTAGAAGATGGATGTGGGTTTATTGGTGCAATAAATAATGAATTTTCAGGCAATGGGAACATCTCTATTATCTCAGTGATTCTATGAATTAAAATATTTATCATGTTCCATGGGAACATCTCTATTATCTCAGTGATTCTATGAATTAAAATACTTACCATTTGAGGAAGGTATCATTAAAGTTATTTGATTTTGGATTCTTAAAGTGCACCTGACCCCTAAATTCTTTTTTCACTTAAAAAAATCTTCCTGCTTTGGTGAGTATTTCTTCGAAAAAATTGTTGGATTTGGCTAAATCCTCATTTTTTTATGCCCTGTTGAAGTCGAGATCCGAATGGACCACGACCGCGTAAATGGGGATCTGGGCAGAGTACACTTGTGACGTCACTTTGAGAAGACGCTCAAGGAATTCTCAGCCAGTCGTCGACCTGCGAAAGCCCTTCTAGCACTAGATTCATTCTGCGGCATATATCTGCGACCAATATCGATCTAACCTTCCAAACATAACCAGTGAACTGTGCAAAATGGCGCGAAATACAGATTGTTGGGTTCTCGAAGTGACGTCACATTAGTAGCCAGACTCTTGATCCTTGAAACACGGTCGTGAGTCAAAATGGCGATGATTTTAATGCGATTTTCCGTACTTCAACGGGGCACAAAAATTTAGGGATTTGACCAAATCAAAAAATTTTTTCGAAGAGATACTCACCAAAGCATGAAGATTTTTTTAAACGAAAAAAATGTAGGGGTTAGGTGCACTTTAAACCCTATTTTCTTATTAAGGTAATAATTTGAATATATCAACAAAGTTGAAATGGTAAATTGGCCACCGTAACGATTACAAAAGCTGACGTTTCGAGCGTTAGCCCTTCGTCGGAGCGAATAGAGGAATTGTGGGTTGTGTGTGCTTTTAAAGGCAGAAAATAGAGCTACGTTNACTTTGGTTCAGAAAGGACTGTTGGACTCTTTTGAGGCAAATTACTTCTCCCCCACACCCCCCACACCCCCTCCCACCAGTCGCGGTTGCACGTTATAATTCCTTGGTCGCTTACCTTTTACTTGGATTCATTAATTTAAAAAATCAGCCAGTTAAAAAGTGATATACGATCCTGCGGAGTAAGAATTTCAGTCTCGAAGTTGTAAGCGTCAGGTCTGATAGGGGGGGCCTAGACCCCCCGGACCCTCCCCCTGGATCCGCCACTGGATTAATCTCTTTAACTTTGATTTTGTCCTTCATAGGGCAAGGCTGCTAAACGGGACAAAATGGACCAGAAGTTCTTCGACAAATTGAACGAATTTAATGCCAGACGAAAACTAAAAGGAGGGATGATCGGTATAATGGCATTAACCAGTGCATTTAAATCAAAGTAATAAGTTTTTTTTTTTTAGACAACGGTGCATGGGACTTCACGGTCGTGAAACATATATCTTTACTTAATGCTCTACGAGCTACGACGAACAGTTGTGCGACCGAAGTTGTTCAGGAACTTTTCAGTTTGTGAAAGCATATGCACGCGTTCCTGTTTCTGACTTTACGTCTTCCGGTGTTTTGTAAAATTTTTTTTTGTTTTATTTTTTTATCGCGACTGATTTTTTGTTTGCTGTTTTGTAATGTAACTCCAAATCTGATATGAACTGTTAAAAATATTAATATAACATTACCTAATAGACAAGGATTGCCGGCGAAATTACCTACAGGCTAGAAAGCCTCTCTCAAAGTACAAAAGTTTTCCATTTAATTACTTTCCTTAGTCAGAGTCTATTTGAATCTCCTACGTGGTTTCTGTGACGTTCTTTGTCCGAAACACGTGAAGATACATAAATCTTGGGTCCTTCATGACAGTAAGTTACAATTTGAGGGCTCTTAGAATGAAATCAAACAAACTTAATTTGATTCTTTAAGAAAACGTACCTACAGATTAACTAACATTAAATTGGTTGCTGAAAGATTATCCTATTTACATTTCAAGCTTCGTACGTGTCGTGCACACCACAGTGTTCTTCCTTCTTCGTTTTGTCACATGGCGTGTGCCGGGGTGACAAGGAGGCCTGGCGCCAGACTCCTTATCATTAGGTCTTTGTTCAAGCCCTGGTGCGGTCGCTGTGTAGCAAGACCCTTTTCTCTCGAAGCTCACCTCCCCACACAGGAGAATAGGTACTAGCTATCAGTCAGGAAAACCTGGCAAGACGCGGAGTTAGGAGGGAAGAGGGGGTTAGCATCCATGGGACAAACGTGTGCAGATAAAGCGCCGTAACTCGACTCATTTTATGGCCGACTTGGCCTGTCGTTGAACACATATCCACTCAAGAGGTTGGGAAGGTAGCTTATCCCTACTCCAACGCGGGAAGACGTGGATGCTCTCCAGCGCAGCGCGTAGTTCAGAAGACGGGGGTTTAGATTAGGCCAGGGATTGGGGTGAGAGACCGACCATCATATCTTCAGCTTCCGAACGAAGAAAACTAGAAAGGATATGGCCAAAACTGTATTTCGGTTTCGAAGCTCTTCAACCCTGGTAGAAGCCAGTTGATGAGACCTCCATCTTGAACAAAAGGACAAAAGGACAAAAGGAAAAAAAAGAAACCTCGAAAGAAAATTAATCTTGCCTGTATTCACCACTCAGGGGCCAGCGAAGATCAAGAAGCATTGTTGAAAAGAGAGGGGGGAGTCAGGGGAAAGAATGAGCGGTTTAAATGTTTAATTTACTCCGTCCAAGAATTCTCAAGATATATCTCTTTCCGGAAATAGCAGTTCATAAACATGCTCGAGGCGAAGCAGGAGCTAAAACTGTCTAACTTTCTCTGTTGCATTTATATACACATCCATGTGTGGAAGAGGTACATTTTCCTACTCTACCATTACGTGATGGATTATTCTAGTTTGCTAAAAAAAAAAAAAAAGGAAAAAAAACAACTAGTCGTTGTAATACCTAATAATTGTTCTGTGGCTTAATCGAGCCTAACTCAATATTTTAAGACGGTTATAAGCCAACTGTACCAGAACACTTATCATTCGAATTGATATAGTGGCTTCATACTAACGAGGCTTTCTTCCTCGCTACTCGGGTGAATTTCTAACCCTGAAACGAGGCCTCTCTCGTTACTCGCGCGAATTTTTAACCCAGAGCTCCACTGCCTATGATCGTGTGAACTATCGCGTGAACACCCGTTGAATGCTAGAACTTGAGGGCAAAGTTCCCATGTGATCACTATTGCCTTGCCATGGCCTCGTCCAATGACGCATCATAGTTGACACTTGATGAATTATTGCAACAGGTCCACGGCAACAGCTACTTTCTTCATAACAATAAATTTAACTCTGTCAAAATATATTTGTACAATGAAGTCCTCTCCGAGGATTTTATTCCCAGAGGTTTTATTGATCCCAGCAGGTAAGATTTCTTTTAATCAAGCGGATCTGTAAGAAAAAAAGACAATATAGTGGAAAAATGTAGAAAAATGGTATGAAAACGGGTGCACTGATAAGGAAACATTTCAGCAGACCAAACAACAAGACAAGAAAAAAAAAAAAAGACAAACAAAGGAAAATATTTATGACTCAGCAACCTTATTTTAATCATATTTCCCTTATACGGTAGTTTCCGATTTCACTTACCTAGACAACGTGTAGATATCGCTGACCAGATGATTTTCTCTTGTGAAAAGCACATCACGCCGAGTTTTCCTCCACGAATATCAGGATCTTTTATTACACCGCTATCTATCATTAATTTGTTGTACTTTTTCCAAATTTTCAGCCTGAGTTGCAAATAAGTGAAAAAGAAAATTAAAAATTTAGTTTCTTAAGATAAGAACGCTTATTTGTTCTGGGAAACCGGAGATCAACGTAAGAAGGGCCAGTGGCTTTTACCTCATGGTACTTTTCGATGGTAGATAAACCAGTTGCCATCGATAAGCTGTCTTATCACGCCAGCCGTGACCGTTCTGTCGATCTTTCCATAGAAGAGTTGCCTGCGAAAAGAAAAGACTATGAGACTACAATTTTATCTTGGGGGAAATTTTTAGGGAAGAGTGACACCAAGTGTCGCTTTATTAGCGACTGGGGGAGCACGTTTGGTATTTAATGGTGATCTAAACATTTAAGTGCATTAAAATAATAGAACTAATGCTAATGATAATCGTAATGATGATAATAAGTATATACCAAACAAGTGATAGAGCTTTTCCTGCGTGCTGATTGGCTGGTTTGGAAGTGATTATCGAGCAGCCGCAGAGACAAAATCGCGCAACAACCAACTAATTTCCGACCAGCTTTTGGTACATTGACAGAAATAAACTTTGTTTTGTTTCTGTGTTGTATGTACTAAAACAGTTATTCATCTCTGTGTCTGTGAAAGTGGTAGATATTTACAGAGCCGCGAATTCTGCCAATATCCACCGCAGATCATCTTCACTTTGGTGGAAAGTTGTTTATCATAATGGTGATGATAATGATAGCGACTGTAACGATAAAAAATAAATTAAAAAAATAATAATAATAATGATAATAAGAACAACACATTTACAGAAAAGAAAAGCTCTTTGACAACCTTCAATATATTACCCACCGTAAAATAGCTCTGGAAGTTCTAAACAGAAAATGAGTAAAAGTTTGACAGCCGCTAATAAGCTTGCAAATCTCTATCAGATTCATTTAGCGACTAAGATTATTGTGCCAGAAATACAAACAAAATTACGCTTGAGCTTTAAACAATCCCGTGCGTGACCTTAAAATAAAGCAGTGCTTAAAACTAACCTCATGCGTGACGTTTCCCGTGTGCCAAAGAACATTCCGAAGCATGATCGATGGACCACTTATTGAGTTAATTTTCTAAAAACAAGCTCAAAAAGAAAATCAAACTTTAGAAAACAAAAACTTAGATATAAGAATTCAGAATTTCACTAATGGCAATGCTCAGATAACTTAAGGTGGCCTTTAATTAAGTCCCAAATGGAAAAAAAAACTTTCGAATTTTAGAATATATATTTTTTTCGGTTAAGTGTAATATAGTACAACCAATACCTCTTTTTTGCGGGTTATTTTAGTTTGCTTTTTGTATTTTACTTTAGTTCATCACTTCAACACCATGGAAACTGTATTGTTTGCGCCTTGTTTCTGGTGAAAAAGGCCATTGTTTCGCTGAAATTATCTTGAACGTCCCATGGGAAAATGCAGTGGGCTTTTTAGAAGTCTGGAATCTAATGCAGGGCCTTTACCACGAGCCTCTCTATCTGCGCATCATTCTCTCTTGACCCTATTTTGAATCTAGGACAACCACAGGAACACCATAGTCACTCACCTTGATGTTGACAGCTGACTCTGCCCTCGCTCTGATCGGTTTGGTGTCCCAGTAGACTTGTCTCTTCTGTTTCCATGAGGCCACAAAGAATTTTTTGGGACTTTGGTATCCAAAGACAATGCCTATGATGTCGTCGTCAGATTCCGTGTTCACAAAGAACGTTCCACTGTATTCCACATCACGGAATATTTGCTTTCCTGAGGAAGAAATGATCCATTTTTGTCAACACATTTTATACTCTTCTCCTTTGAACAGGCTATTAGAACAGAGGCTGTCCTCCAGAGAAAGAAGTCTAAGATTTTAGTTTTTATTTCCCCAATCATATCCGAGAGGGCTTTCCAAATCCTCGGTGACACTGCTATTGAAATTGGCAAACAAGTATTGAGGGAAAGTGTAATATAAAATCTATTATTATCCAACTACACTTCGTAGAGTACAAATAACGCCATAGACGAGTACAAATATATATATCTTATTAACCAAGCGCGAGGGCCGTACTGGGAGAATATCGGCCCGAGGTCTTGACAGTACGGACCGAGCGCAGCGAGGTCCGTACAAAAAAGACCGAGGGCCAATATTCTTCCAGTACGGTCCCGAGCAAGCTGAAGTTCAAAGGGACACAAGTGCGGTATCATTCGGGACCCTTCGGGACAGTGCCCGGTCCAATACTT